CGCTTAGAGAAGGGGAGAGAAGGAACAAACACGTGGGTGTCCTGAGTCTGGCAAGCTTTAAAACATGACCAAATCCATTGGGTTTGCCAAAAACCCTCTTTGTGGCGGGCTGGAATTTGCTGATGTGTTTAAGGGGATGTAGGAAAGAGCTCCATCAGCCTGGGGCTGCCACGTGAGGGAGGAGAACGTGGAACCCGCCAGGTCCCACAGAGGAATCTCCCTCTGCATTCCAAAACGCTTCCCTTTCCGGTTTTTTTCACCTTTTCCTTCTGCTCATCCATCAGTTCTCCCTGTCAGGAGCGTCCCTTGGGATGGGTGATGTCCCTCCAGCAGCCAGAGCGTCACGTTTGGGTGGAAAAGGAGATTTTTTTTTGGTCCTGGATGCACAGGGAGCTCTCCATGCTGCGTCCCTGTTTACACTTCATTCTGTTCCAGCTGCATCCCGGGGAATTTGGGGTTTCTGAGGGTGCCTCGAAGGAGCAGCCTCCCCGTGGGAATGGGAGGTTGGATTTCACAGGCTAAACCAGCTGCCAGTGGCTAAACTGGGAGTGTCAGCTCACAGAATTCCCAAAATTCACAGATTCACCAGGTTGGAAGAGACCTCCAAGACCATCGAGTCCAACCCAGCCCCAGCACCTCAACTCAACCCTGGCACCCAGTGCCACATCCAGGCTGGTTTAAACACACCCAGGGGTGGTGATTCCACCATCTCCCCAGGCAGGACATTCAGAACTTTATCACTTTTCTGTAAAAAACTTTTTCCTAACATCCAACCTGCATTTCCCTTGGTGCAGCTTGAGACTGTGTCCTCTGGTTCTGTCAGTGCTGCCTGGAGGAAGAGAAAGTGAAGACAAAGTGGGAGAGCAGCGCCTTCCACAGAGCTCAGGGTGTGGGACAAGGATTTATCCTCCTTTAATAGACCCAGATTAAATAATTCACCCTTATTTCCACAAGAAATGGATATTTCCATCCAGAGCTCATGGATGTGTCGATATCCTGGGAGGGAGAACATGGAATTAATCTCCAGGGAGGAGGTGAAGGCAAACGTTGGATGGACTGGCCTAATCCTGGGGGTTTTTAAGTGCAATGGCATGGGAGGAAATACAATTTTCCTCACATTTCAGCATACTTTGGCTCCATTTCTGTGCCCTCACGTGCCATCATTTCCCCAAGAAGAGCAGCCCTGCCAGGGTTCTCTGGCTCAGAGAGGGCTCTGCCCTTGTCCTTTGTCATCGTTGTCATCCCTGTCATCCCACTGGAATGGCTTTGCCAGGCTGGGAATGCCGGCCTGGCTGCCTCCTGCATTCCTGGAGCTTCTCCCTCCAGTTCTGGTCAAGGCTTTCCACCCCCTCAGCCCTTTGGTGGCTGCAGAATGACTGGGAGGTGCTGCCAGCTCCAGATGGGAACCACAAACAGGATTTTAATGAGAGAGAGGCAAAAAAAAGGACAAAATTCCCATTCCCAGCAGCCTCCCCCAGGAATGGCCTCCCACCCTGTCCAGCTGTGGTGTGAGGGGTGGACACAGGGCTGGCCGAGTTGCCCAAACCCCATTAATAAATTGTGGGTGAAATTAAACCAAATACATTCACCTCTCTGCCTGATTGTTCTTCCTAACCAGCTTTGGAAGCAGGAGCTGAGTTCTGCAGGAGGATCATTCCCTTCCATGCTTTTCTGATGGAAATTCTAATTTTCTGCTGCTGCTCATCTTGGAAAGACCAAATTATTCCATTTTTCTGCCAGCACCTCGAGCCCATTCTCTGCAGCTGTTCTCTGCTGTTTCCCTCAGTGCCAGAATCCTCGACCTGCCCCAGATTTCTTTTCCTGACTCCTCATCCACCCTGTGGATGTTTCATTCACAGCCCACGTGTCGATGTCCCAGTTCTATGTCAGGAATGTCAGGCCTTGACTGGGAGCAGATTCCAGCACAAAACCCAGCCAAGAGGTCATAATTTGTGAATCCCTGCAGCTCGAGTTTGTAAATTATGAAACAGTGGAGACTTGGTTTTTCCTGGGATTCTTGCACGCTTGAGTCACAGAGAATACTGGGAAAAAATTAACGGTGAAATTATTAACAATAATTTCACAGATTTTTGTTTTATTTTTACCAAAAAAAATCAGCAGATTTTTTCCAAGTTTTGAATGCTGGAGGTCACTGTGGTGTTCAGAACCTGCTGAGGTATTCCCTCACCACACAAAAGGACTTTTTTCCCAATTTTTCTCCCCAAGGAATGGGTCCCATCCACCTGAACGAGATCGACTGCACGGGCTTCGAGAAGTCGGTGACGGACTGCAAGTTCAACACCGAGTCCCAGGGCTGCAACCACGAGGAAGATGCTGCTGTGAGGTGCAACGTGCCGGCCATGGGCTTCCAGAACCAGGTGAGGAGCCCAGAGATCCAGGTGTGAGGGGATTTGGGGTGGGAATTTTGGGCAGGAATCATTTCACCCAAGCCATGAGTGTTTCATTCAGGTTTTACCCAAAGAAGAAGGGGAAATGAGGATGAGGGTCCCATTTTATGGGGGTTTTGTGCTCCTCTGACTCATCTCGGAGTCCTGAAAATGAGGAAGGCCAGGTTGGACGGGGCTTGGAGCAACCTGGGATGGTGGAAGGTCCCTGCCCATGGGAGGGGGTGGCACAAGGTGATTTTTAACCCAATTTCCAACCTTTTCCAACCCAACCATCCCATGATTCTGTGCCAGCTGCATGAAGCAGACACGGATTCCTCTGAGTGCTCCTTCCAAAGGTCTAAAGGAGCAGGGAAGGGCAGCTTTTCCTGGGAATTCCTGCAGCTGGTCCAACCCGTTGAGCTGCCGGGCTTGGCTGGACCATCCCCTGCCAAACTGGGAGAAGAGCTGAACTCCCTGAAATTCCCATGGAATTTATGGTTCCTCCCACAGCTCCTCTCCCTGAGGAGACTCCGAGTGCTGCTCCATTCCTGGATGGTTTCCCAGAGCCTTCCCCTTGAGGAGCCCCTCCTGATCCCACACAGAGATGGGACACAGTGCTGCACCCGAGTGCCCTGAGTCATTTTCCCTATGAAAGCTTTGGGAATGTGTTCATCTTTTCCTGACTCCCCATCCGCCCTGTGGATGTTTCATTCACAGCCCACGTGTCGATGTCCCAGTTCTATGTCAGGAATGTCAGGCCTTGACTGGAAGCAGATTCCAGCACAAAGACCCAGCCCAAAAGTCATAATTTGTGAATCCCTGCAGCTCAATCCCTCAATTCTCCTTTTTTCCAGCCAGAATTCCCTCTGTGGGAGGGAAATCCCTCACCAGCTCTGTGCTAAAGGGGGAGTTTTCTCCTCTGCAGCACTCGGGTCACTTCCCTCTGGGGATATCCATTTATTCCAAAATTTTGGGGGAACAAAACCTTCTTCCCCACCTGCTGCCCTTTCCCTTGGGAGTTTGCTGTGGATTTAGGGGTTCTGTGTCCTGCAGCTTCGCCTGAGCGGGGGCCGCAACCCCTACGAGGGCCGTGTGGAGGTGCTGGCCGAGCGCAACGGCACCCTGAGGTGGGGCACGGTCTGCAGCCACAACTGGGGCACCGTGGAGGCCATGGTGGTGTGCCGGCAGCTGGGGCTGGGCTTCGCCAGCCACGCCTTCCAGGTGAGCCCCCGCCCCACCCTGCCTGGGCTGCACACCTGCATGGGGGGCTAGGGGGGCTGGAGGAAGGGTCATTCCAACCTTGGAGCTTCAGGGTTGAGCTGGAAAAGCCTTGAGGGTGAAATCTCAAGGGATGGGTGGGCTGGGGGTGCTGGAGGAACAGGAGGAAGGGTCGTTCCAACAGGAGATCAGGAAAAAGCCTTGAGGGTGAAATCTCAAGGGATGGGTGGGCTGGGGGTGCTGGAGGAACAGGAGGAAGGGTCATTCCAACCTTGGAGCTCAGGGAAAAGCCTTGAGGGTGAAATCTCAAGGGATGGGTGGGTTGGGGGAGTGGGAGGAAGGGTCATTCCAACCTTGGAGCTTCAGGGTTGAGCTGGAAAAGCCTTGAGGGTGAAATCTCAAGGGATGGGTGGGCTGGGGGTGCTGGAGGAGGAGGAAGGGTCATTCCAACCTTGGAGCTCAGGGAAAAGCCTTGAGGGATAAATCTCAAGGGATGGGTGGGCTGGGGGTGCTGGAGGAAGAGGAGGAAGAAGGGTCATTCCAACCTTGGAGCTTCATTCGAAGATTGACCTGGAAAAACCTTGAGGGTGAAATCTCAAGGGATGGGTGGATTTGGGGGGGGTGGGGGAGCAGGAGGAAGGGTCATTCCAACCTTGGAGCTTTGAAGGTTGAGCTGGAAAAGCCTTGAGGGTGAAATCCCATTGTACAATGGCTGTGGAGGTGGGGATTTGGAGCAAAAGGAGCTGTGGATGATAAGAAGTGAGGGAACTTCATCAGAAACTGGAATGATGGGATAAGGGGGAATGGCTTCCTACTGCCAGAGGGCAGGACTGGATGGAATATTGGGAATAAATGCTGCCCTAGGGCTGTGGGATGGAATTCCCAGAGGAGCTGTGCTTGTCCCATCCCTGGAAGTGACCAAGGCCAGCTTGGAGCAACCTGGGATAGTGGAAGGCGTCACTGGATGGGTTTTAAGGTTTTTTCGGTGGCAAACCTTCTGCTTCCCTGAGTTCTCTCTTGTTTTCTCACAGCTCAGGTTCCCCAACATTCCCCAACCCCTGCTTGGGCTGGTGGCTGCATGCAGGTTCTTGTCCCTCCCCGAAATGCAGAGGTCAGGTTCAAACTGGTGTCAGGCCTCCTGAAAAAATGTGATTTTGCTCCTGTAGTGGCTCCAGTGCGGCCCTGAGCAGCGTGGCTGGATGCAGCTCCATGAACTGTTGGTGTTCCCTGCTCCTCTCCTGCCCAAACCCGCCCTGCTTCTGCATGGCCAGAACAACACCTCAGCTCTGCCCCACCCTGGGAGCGTCCAAGGCCAGGCTGGACAGGCTTTGGAGCAGCCAGGGATGGTGGAAAGTGTCCCTGCCCATGGGATGAGCAATCCGAACCATTCCATGACCTCTGCCACCCTCATGGACAAACCCCAACCATTCTCCACGGCCAGGGAGGGATCTGCAGGTCCTCAGGGGACACTCTGGGCTTGGACACCCGGCAGGAGCGGGGCTGGAGCTGCCCACGTGCTGCTGGAGCCATTCCCCGCTCCGACTGCTTCCTCCAGCTGATTTCCCCCCACCAAAAACCCCGGGAGCTGAGGATCTCCACATCCCTGAGCGTGGCCTTTCCGACTGCCTGGCTTTGTTGACACAGCCCTGAGAGTCCAGCGAGGAAAAGGCATTTTTTCCCTGAGCTGAGGCTGCTGGAATTTGGAACAGAAAAGGCTCTTATGCTGCCCCAGCTCCGGGAGCATAAAGCCCCAGTGTGCAGAACAGGGCAGCCCTGTGTGCTCCCAGCCTTCCCAAACAGCCGGGGGCAACGGGAGCCGTGGGACACCGGGGGGTTCCTTTTCCTGGAAAACTGCTCCCAGCTTGGACACGGACAGATCTCATTGGGTTTTTTTAGGTTCTTTCTTCCCTCCCCTTCTCCCGAGTTTTGGGGTTTGGGATTGACGTTGTGTCATTCCCGTGAGTTTTGTAAAACTGGGGGATGATGAGAGGAGAGGAAGTTTCATCGGGAACTGGAATGGTGGGACAAGAGGGAATGGCTTCCCACTGGCAGAGGACAGAGTTAGTTGGGATATTGGGAATAAATTCTTCCTGGAACAGTGGTGAGGTCCTGGGATGGAATTCCCAGAGCAGCTGTGGCTGCCCCTGGATTCCTGGAAGTGCCCAAAACCAAAACGAAGCAACCTGGGACAGTGAGAGGTGTCCCTGCCCATGGCATGGGGTGGGACTGGATGGAATTCAAGGTTTTTAAGGATTCACTGACAAAACTCCTGCTTCCCTGAGTTCCCTTCTCCAGCATCCTTTGGCAAGATCCTCCTGGATAACGTGGGGTCTTTCCCTGATCTTCCCTGGTGGGAGAATCCATGTTTTAGGCAGGTAAATACTCTCCTAAGAGCCACTAAACCGCGAGGAATGTGTGAAATGCCTTTTCCTGCCTTTTCTTTGCCCAGGAAACGTGGTACTGGCACGGGGACGTCAGCGCCGACGACGTGGTCATGAGCGGGGTCAAGTGCTCGGGGACAGAGATGTCCCTGTCCCACTGCCGGCACGACGGCGCCCACGTGTCCTGCCCCAGGGGAGGGGGACGCTTCGGGGCCGGCGTGTCCTGCTCGGAGAGTGAGTAACTCGGGATTTATCCCACCTGGGCATGGGGGACGTGCAGGAGGAATGGGGCGACCTGGATACATCAAAGCTCCCACAGAGGTTCTGGCTGTGGCTGCCCCTGGGTCCCTGGAAGTGTCCGAGGGCAGCTTGGAGCGAGCTGGGACTGTGGAAGGTGTCCCTGCCC